TTCAAAATCCCTCCATCCATGACAAAGTTACAGTCTGGACATGATGATTGTGTAAGTGGGGACAGATGGAAATGAGCCTTAGCCGCGACACATTGTCTTGATGTGGTAGACATTTGTGCCAAGTTATTTTAAAATCCTTCCATGCATGACAAAGTTACAGTCTGGACATGAATGTGTATCTTCAAACTCTTCTCGAGAGAATGAGTACCTTCTAACTAAGTGTGACCTTAACCTTGAAGGTAGGGACATGGGTCTTTGTTGCAACATGTCGTCTTGATGTGGTAGACATTTATGCCTAGTTATTTTAAAATCCTTCGATGCTATAAAAGCTAATTAAGCCTACTTAAACTTAGTGAACCTTTAGGGTGGGGTCATTTTTGGACAACGGAGACACTGCCATCACAAAAGCTCACCTCTGAGCATTTTGCTCAGGTGAGCTAACAAAAACTGGCACAAACCACACACCAAACTACACTCATTTTTATCTCTGGAGGTTTCAAAGAATTCTAGCCAATGGTTACTTAGAAAATGAATGACAGACAAAAAGGCATAAAAGGGCCATAACTCCAATTATGAAAGTGCCTATAAAGTTTTGGTGAATTTCAAATATCGCTGAGAAATAGCCTTAAGAAAACATTTAACTTCTAACTTCATAAATTATGATGAAATAGTTTGTTAACCAGTCTATCTATTACACTAGCCATCATTCTTAGAGTGACCTGTCATATATGACATCTACTTATTTGAACTATTTCATGATTCTGGAATATTACACAAATTGAATATACGAGAATAAATGATCTGCTAGATTGGAAATTATCTTACTCTTGTTTTTCACATAATCTGACTGAGTCAATTTGTAACAATTTAAGCAGACAATTCATTAATAACCATAAGAAAACATTGATACATTCTTCATTATAAATTCTACAACAAGTTTTATCAGTGTTGTTTTTGATTCCTGAGTTTGACCTTCCATTTGTCAAAGCTTAAAATATCTCTTCCAATGTTAACAAAGCATGAAAATGAAAGAGAAACAAGCTAAAAGTATGTAAAAGTACGTACAAATCAATACACTTACAATAAAGTTTTTTTTGTCCAATTATAAGTTGTTGTATGAACCTAGACACTTTTTAAACATACTGTTGCCATGGAAATTTCCAACATTTCACGAAGTTTCTACAGGATTTCATGATAATAATTATCTCAGTAAAATCTATTCTTCATTTATTCAATACAAGTTTTCAACATTTTGATTTAGTAAGGAATGGATAGATATTCATCAGCATTGACATTCTTAATTTAAGACTTACATCTTAAATTGGTTTTCACTCAATGTATTTTCAATTTTCAGGAAATAGTCAAGCAGAAATGTACATGTACATTGTATAAAAAAAAGATAATCTATAATATTTAATCAAGATGATTTTAAAATTACACAATAAATGAGACTATAGGAAAGTCAATTTTAAAGTTTTAGTCAAGTCAGACCATAGATGCAGATGGAAGAACAGTTAGATGAATGGAACTTGATTTTACGCTGAGTGGACAGAACCACAAAAGTAGTTCTCCTTTCCATCAGATAGGTTTAAGTCACATTACAATTGTTAAAAAAGTCATATACATCAAGTTTCCAGCTGCCTTCAGGTACACATTCTGTTATGATTTTAGACATAAAAGATATCTGGGTATAAGCACAATGCTTCCACAAGTCAGGTAGATAGTTTGTTTTAGACGAAACAAGCACATTATAACCTCTGTTGTAATATTGATACAGCTCACTTGATTAAAGCTTCTTAGTATATTCTGTACCTCAGAATAAAGATAATTTCCACAATATTAAATATTTTCTCTAATTTTGGGTAAATTTATAGAGGAAACATTTCTACCTTATAGAGATACTCAACTGCTGATTATAACTGGAGTATAAATCAAATGTTGTATTTTGTTCACTGAAAAATGTGTTTGTATTTTGTATAGTCTTAACCTCGACACTGCAGTAATTTAGACTGTATTCGTGTTACAAAATCATCATTTTATGTGATGTAATGCAAAGATAATGAAAGAAAGGCTGATGTCTGACCATGAATGTTCAAACTATTATGTGTCTTGTCTCAGTATAAATCAACTTAGCATATGAATCTCATTACGGTAATCCTGCCAGTCTTCGGAGGAAATTATCTAGATGTTTTTTACACAAGAGACGAATCAATTTGCTGAGACAACGGGAAGTCCAAAACTTAGTTATTTTGTTGAAATTAACTAGGAACATTACGTCTCCTGTACGTCAATAAAGTCTAATAAAACCACCTCCAATCAGCCTAATAAAACAACCCCTGAATAGTAGATTACAGTATAAAACTTCAAAATGCAGACAATAAAATAAATCTAAATACAGCACAATATACAATAAGATGACATATGACATATAATAGAAGAAGAAAACACCCACACTGGTGTATACAAATAGTTAGTACATCTGTCATATAGACATTTGTATTTCTATATTTCTGAAATACTAAACAAGGTTTCACTGTCCTCAATATACGTTTCCAACCTTAGGAAAGAAAAATACATTACTGTTAATAAATAAAAACAAAGTAAAAATACTATAATGACTAGTATAAAACAGCAATATAACATCAAACACTGGACAAAGGCGACATTTTTGTCTGTACATTCAGACTATATTAATTTTATTTCTCTGTTATACAGTCATTATAAATCTTGGCCAACAAACAAATAGGATAGTCTCAAATATATAGAAGATATTAACCCCATATCTAATATTTAATCAAATTTTTAATTTCTGGGAAAAAATCAAACTGTTATTTGACCTTTTAAAATATCTTACATTAATTTCCTACCAATCAAAACTAATATGTAGTTTATTGTATTATGAAAATAAATATTAAAGGTAAATTTCCTTTTTTATAAGGTGGGGTGGGTGTGGGTGGGAGAGCTGGATCTAAAGTCACACCAGCACAGTTTTGGTGGCAACATACCACTAGCTTCTTGATAGGGAAAGACTCCATATGATCTTCTATACATTCTTCCAGACACAATTACCTACTGGACAGTTTCTCCACATGAACGATCTTAAGTCCCTCATGTAATTTAAACCCATAGTGGTTTGAAGTCAACCATCTCAACAATAAGTGGCCAGAGAGAATGTAATAGGTTTTTTGACAATTAAGGTTGAAGATTTAACAAATAACACATATACATAGAATGTAACATATTCACATAGATGTAACATATACACATAGATGTAACATATACACATATGTATACACATAGTAACATATACAACATAGATGTAACATATACACATAGATGTAACATATACACATATATGTAACACATACAGCATAGATATAACATATACCACATAGATGTAACATATACCACATAGATGTAACATATACCACATAGATGTAACATATACACATAGATGTAACATATACACATATATGTAACACATACAGCATAGATATAACATATACCACATAGATATAACATATACCACATAGATATAACATATACCACATAGATGTAACATATACCACATAGATGTAACATATACCACATAGATGTAACATATACCACATAGATGTAACATATACCACATAGATGTAACATATACCACATAGATGTAACATATACCACATAGATGTAACATATACCACATAGATGTAACATATACCACATAGATGTAACATATACCACATAGATGTAACATATACAACATTGATGTAACATATACAACATAGATGTAACATATACCACATAGATGTAACATATACAACATATATGTAACATATACAAACACATATAGATATTATATGGATATCTGTGACAAATACAGTGGAGAATGAATTGCTAATGGATGTCATAACAATGGATATTTATATGGTAACCTTAATGTTGCCTTCATAATCCTTCTAATGGCATGAATAGTATGAGAGAGAGATTTATTGTTACCTAAAACACCATGTTCACCTTAGTGTAGAAAGGTAGACAGGTAATAACGGGTATAACACAATACATGTACATTCTTTCTGGCTCAACATTTCTACAAACAACAATGATCTGTTGTAACAATGAGTTGAAGCGTTTAATGGATTTTTTTTTCACACCAGTGTTTATTCCAACTAAGTTCCTCCCTATTTAAAATTAAATCAAACTAAAATTAATTCAAAGCATTAAAATTCTTTTTACAGCGCTTAAAATTTCTGCAAGAATGCTTTGCTGATCTCAGATAAATTAAACTTGGGACTGAATGTTATACTAGGTAATAGTTAAGCTTATTCAATCATGTTAAATTCACTATCAATATACAACAGACAATCCCTACTTGTAATAATTCTCTATTACATTTCCACTACATCTTTACCATTAAATTTCTACTTGAGAAATGTTTAATGTTCCTAAGCTTTCCTCTTTTACAATAGATAGCTACACATTTCATTTATTATTCTGGCTTCATCTCTAATGTTTCTACCGTATCATACATATCTGTCAACACTTGTAAATCTTAGCAGCATTTTTCAGTTTTCCTTTACTTTGGAACAGCAATATCAATTTTGTTATTTGGAATGCTTGTTGACAAAACCATGCTGTCGTCATACATCACATTTATCTTACTTCATATGATTATTTGTTTGAAGTATTATTTATATTTTTGTTTTCCTTTTTGTTCTTTATTTTGTTACGTTTTGTGTTGAGTCAGACATAATATCTTATAGAGAAAACTCTCAGATGCCAATTAAAGTATTATTTCAAGATCTCAAAACCATCAACCTTCAGTAAGCTGGCTCCTTAAGTTTCATAACATGAAAACATTTTATTCCTCACTCCAACAAATATAAATATACATATATTTCTGGAATGTTACATAGGATTCATTTATAATAGAATGTCAAGTGAGTAATTTGTGTCATTAAGAAGATTTATCATTTAACTACCATAATAAAATGTTAAGTTTAGAGAGTACATACTCCACATTTCTCATGTAAATAATCTCTAATCCTGATGTATGATACCAGTGCTGTTTTCTTTTTGTTGTCCATGATCAATGTAGCCAAACGACACATCAGTAGCTAAAAATAGAAATTCATTATATCTTTACAAGAAAAATGGTTTCCTGCGGGCACATTTTTAATAATATAAAGATATTTCATTTAACTATTTTCAACATTGTTTGGGGGGGGGGGGGGGGGATAAATTAAACGTTTGTATCAGGAATATAGTCCTGCGGGGCACATTTTTAATAATATAAAGATATTTCATTTAACTATTTTCAACATTGTTTGGGGGGGATAAATAAACGTTTGTATCAGGAATATAGTTGACAATAATCGATCAATATAGAAGAAGGTCTTTGGAAACTGGTGACCGTTGATGACCGAAGAAGGTCGAACATAAAACAATTATTTCTTTTTAAGAAAATGATTTAATAGACATACCATTTTATGAATAATTCCGAGCAAAAAAAAAGTAAACACACAAGTTTACGCAGAAAATTTCTCTATTTATTATGACAGATGCCACTACGAATATTTTAATTTTGTAGATTTTCAGTATAAACAATTTATTGTTTGTAAAATTTGAGATACATATTAAAGAAACATTGATAAATTTCAAACACATCATTCAAGTTTTTTCACCTTTAAGGGTAAAATAATTATAGAAAATTAGAAATATCACGTAATCGTTTTTTGTTCTTAATTAGATGTAATTCTGACTAATTCCCTAGAGGTAAATCCGTATCGTACCGGCAAACGGTATTTAGCCAGGTTTTCGAAAAGGTCAATTAACCAATCATATACGGTTTACAGATCACATGCTCCAATCCATGTGTACCGAAACCAGGGTCACATGCTCCTCCATGCCTCAAAACTTAAACGGCCGTACCAATACCCCTGCAGTTCTCAGACCGCAGGGAATAATATAACAAACCTAATGTATAAATTAACAAGAGGGCCATGATGGCCCTGAGGTCGCTCACCTGTATATAGCCCCCCCCCCCCCCCCCCGGCCAATTTTTACCCAAGGGCTCTTCTTTGTTTATTTGAACAGACTTGGTAGACACCCATAAGAAGATGTATTCATGCTAAACATCTAAGTTCTAGCTCATTGGGTTTTTTTAAAAAGAAGATTTTTTTAAGTTATTACTATACACATATAGTTAAAAAACAATGACACCCCTGGGGCAGGGCCAGTTTTGACCCCCGGGCCTTTAAAATTTGTAGATATTTACTTATAGATGTTTTCATGCTTAATATCTAAACTAAAACGCTATTTGGGTTTTTTTCAAAGAAGATTTTTAAGTTTGCTATACACATATAAGGAAAATCAATGACCCCGGGGCGGGGCCAGTTTTGACCCCAGGGCTTTTATTTTGAACATACTTGGTAGACACCCATTAGAACATGTTTTCATGCTAAATATCTTAGCTCTAGCTCTTTGGGTTCTTTAAAAAGAAGATTTTTTAAGTTTTTACTATATGCATATAGGGAAAATCATCAATGACCCCCTGGTGTGGGGCCAATTTTGACCCAAGGGCTTTTATTTGAACAAACTTGGTAGACATTCACAAGAAGATGTTTCATGCTAAATATATAAGCTCTAGCTCTTACGGTTTCTTTTAAAAGAAGATTTTTTAAGTTTTTTACTATATGCATATAGGGAAAAAATCAATTGACCCCCCAGGGCGGGGCCAATTTTGACCCCAGGGCTTTTATTTGAACAAACTTCGGTAGACACTCACTAGAAGATGTTTTTTTCATGCCCAAATATCTTAGCTCTAGCTCTTTGGGTTCTTTAAAAAGAAGATTTTTTAAGTTTTTTTACTATATGCAATATAGGGAAAATCAATGACCCCCTGGGGCGGGGCCAATTTTGACCCTAGGGCTTTTTATTTGAACAAACACTTGGTAGACATTCACTAGAAGATGTTTTCATGCCAAATATCTAAGCTCTAGCTCTTACAGTTGTTTAAAAGAAGATTTTTTTAAGTTTTTTTACTATATGCTATATAGGGAAAATCAATGACCCCCCTGGGCGGGGCCAATTTTGACCCCAGGGCTTTTTTATTTGAAAAAACTTGGTAGACACTCTTTAGAAGATGTTTTCATGCCAATATATCTAAGCTCTAGCTCTTTTACAGTTCTTTAAAAGAAGATATTTAAAGATTTTTCTTTCGGTTGCCATGGCAACCAGAGTTCTGCATGGAATTAAATTCTTTGAACAATTTTTAAAGGTGACCACCAAAGGAACATTCCTGTGAAGTTTGGATGAAATTGGCTCAGTGGTTTATGAGGAGATGTCATTTAAAGCAAAAGCTTACGGACGGACGCCGGACGAAAAGCGATCACAAAAGCTCACCCTGTCACTTTGTGACTGGTGAGCTAAAAATGACATATGCTGGAATAAAATTGTAACAAATTGTAACAAATACTCTTTTTTTCTCTTCCAAGAAAGAGATAGCAATAAGTCTATATATAAGCTCAGACAGGATTAAAATAATGTTAATAAGAAAATGTTATGGCTACAAATTTTCATAGTTTACAATCATCCTTAAGAAGACAATGATAGCGCTACAAAGATCACTCACTTAAGATCCATTGCTAAAAATTTCATCAATGCAGTAGATAATTATACCACATTTGGGTATGTCACTTGTCTGACAATCTGGTCAACATTAAAGGTGCAAACAGTAAAAGTTTGGTCAGAATGTACAAACATCATGCTGAGTGGTTGTTTACATACTGGTGGAAAAGTTTGTGTTCAGTCCCCCATAATTTATTATAACAACATAATTATACTTACCACAGAATCCTCTTTTAAAGACCAGACAACTCTCAGCTTACAACGATCTCTGTATATATCCTTGTCTTTCGCATCTCCCTTCTCATACGGCTCTAAAATATATCATATAATACATGGACACAAATTGTACGGTATAAAGCTCTAAAATATATCATATAAAACATGGACATAAATCATATGGTATAAAGCTCTAAAATATATCATGTAACACGTGGGCAAAAATCATACAGCATAATGATCTAAAATATATTTTATAACACATAGGCATAAATCATATGGTATAAAACTCTAAATAATATCATATAACACATGGGCATTAATCATTTGGTTTAAAGCTCTAAATAATAATTATATTACACATGGGCATAAATCATATGACATAAAGCTCTATAATATATCATATAACACATGGACATAAATCATATTGTATAAAGCTCTATAATATATCATATAACACTGACACATAAATCATTTGGTATAAAGCTCTTAAATATATAACATATGGGCATAAATTATACGGTATTAATTCTTTACAGAATAAAACATCATATGTAGTATTCAGATAAATTGTATACCATATTACAATAAATATAGCTCACCATGTGTAATATCTAGATATTACATATAACCCACCATTTGTAGTGTTCAGATAAATCACATATCACATAAAAAAATACACATCATGTGCTAGGATCACATATATTATACATGTATATCAAATTAAAATATAACATATACATGTATAATGTGTAGCATTCAGTTAAATTATATAACATACAACATATCTTGGACCACACCATGATTTGAGGCTATCACCCTCAATATTCTTACAATTCAGATGTTCTTCTAACTGAGTTTGCATAAATAATTAGGGGACCTTATATGATATATAGAAATCCCCCAAGATACTGTACTAATAATCAAGTGAAGTGTCTAGATAAATTATATATTTCATTTGATGTATTCAGATAAATTACTTATCACATAAAATACAACACATTTTCTATAAAACAAAAGGACCTCTGCAATTTTAATTGGTTGGCATCCAAATTATAATATTTATATATAATATCAAAGTTCTACTAACTTTTGCATGTAAAATAAAAGTTATAGATTTACTTAGCAAGAAAATGGAGGACATTCATAATGTTTTAGTCTTTTTATTAACATTAGAATTTTACCAAGTTTGGTAATAAAGCAAGCCATTAATCGCCAGAAATATGTCCATTGAATAAAAATGCTCCAATTGTTGTGCCACAAAACATCTATATAAACTATTTTGCAAATAAACAAAGCAGTTACACTACAAGTTACAAGTGGCACAAGCCCAAAATTTTCAATCTTAAATCTACAATATACTTTCAATTAAAATACTTAGGTGTGTAAGTTCACGTGCTGAAAACAATTGATAGAAAGTTCCATGGCTCTAGCTGTTATACTCTTACATTCACATATGACACAGATATAAAAAATGCTATTTTTGCTTAATCATGGGCCATAACTCTGCTGATCATCAAGATATTTATCATCAAAATATTTAGCTGTGTAAGTTCCCACATGCTGACAACTATTCTTAGCAAGTTTCAATCATAGTCTTTGGAGCTATACTGATTGAATTTCATACAACACAAACTTGTCTACGGATGGACAGAATAAAGGCAGATGAGTATGATTGGAATGGCAGATAAGGGCAAATCTTTATCCTCCAATAAATTGTTGAAAATAAATGATGCACACTACACAACATGAGACAGAGTGTAATTACACTAGCTTACAATGTGAATAATGTGCTCAGTGCTCAGGTGAGCTATAAACAATCACACAGGCACCATAGTTAAAGCGAAAAATAACTTACTTTTCTTTTTCTTCACTTTTTCTTGTATTTTTATACATCTCTTTTTCATAATTTTACCCTCCATTCTGCTGATTATTTCTGAAAATAAGTATAATTACATACATGTGTAATTCTATTCTAATTATCAAGCTATACAAAATAAAGTAACAGTATCTACATGTAGCAGTGAATACAATACTACACTTCATCATGATGTATCAATGAAGATTTACATAAATACACATGAGCCCTTGACCTGAATTTCTGAAATAGACTTGTCAAGATTCCATTCTAGACCAGTTTATTATCAAACATCGCTTATTTTCCAAACTCCATCAGGATCACACTATTGTTTCTTTGAACAAGAAACTTTATACTGAGAAATATCTCAGTACTGGTTTGTTCCAGGTATAGATTTGAGAGTGTGTCTATAAGCTTTTAGCTTCCTACTATATCAAATAAAATAAATTCTGTATAAACCAATGGACATTATAACATATAATTTATAAATATTTATCAATCATATAGTCAATGTTTTAATAGTTAAAAATCATTATTATGATATCAAATGATTCCTTTACCGATTCTTACAGTCTAGTGTTTGTGATGGAATAAGATGTTGTTAAAATCAGCACCAACAGACAGTGGAATAGGTATGTTTATATTACCAGTGTACATGAAGTATTGTTAACAATGAAGACCATTTACCAAATTACCATGCACAAGTCAAGATTTCAAAACTTTTGAAATTGCTGTTTCAACTATTTACATACTCATTTGTGTTATAAACAATACCAGGTTCAGTTACAACAATAAGTAACAAATTAACAAAGGTTGGTGGACATACTATGAGTTTTGGTGAATTCTGTATGTACCCTTCTCAGGATGCCTTTGCCCCCTTTATTTCCAGACACTTCTCTTGTAATCTTTTTCACAACTGAAGGTTTTTCTACAATGTAAACAAAAATAGGTTAAAAGGCAATGGCTGCTCCCTTACCTACATATTTGTCCATATACTTCAATGCACAATGGTCAATTAATAAAGGCATGAAGAAAAAATAAATATAAATTCTATTTGACCTTGACCTTGACCCATATGGCCCTTAAACTTTAGAGGACCAAAGAAGGTATCCATCTATGGCATAGGATGGACTTCAGTAAATAAATAAACATCACTTAAATAATCAACAGGTTTCTAATTACTATAATTAGCAAATAAGATATCTGAACAGTATGATTTATACATGCAACAAATGCCTTTTACATTAGCTGTCAAAACATAAGACTATCAAAGGAACAATTAAGTATATTATGTGAAAATTTGAGAACAATAAATTTAGGTCATTACACATTGTTTCTGACTCTGAGCCACTTATTTAAATACACAATAATGATTTATTTGCAAAAGGTGAAATATAAAATGTTGTAAAAAAAATCCTTAAGTAATTTGACAGATTTTTGAAAGTTTAGAATTTATGGTAAGTTTTACTCATATCATGTTCCAGGTAAACAGACTATAATAAATTCAAATGTTTTTAATTTATTTTTAAACATGGTATTTGTATAATGATGGATATAAACATGTTTACTTTTAAACCATTTTAACTCAAACAGAATATATTATCTACAAAGAGATCATCTTATATCTTCAACAAAATGAAATAACACAAAGAAAATAAAAGCATGTACATAATTATAGCAATATGAAACATTTGAAAACACTTTTTGGGTACCTCGAGTCATATGTGACTTTTTTGGGCCAGTCCCATTGAAAGCCACAAAAGTTTGACTTTACTCTATACAAAATGAACATTCTAACTCATCATGAACATAATTATTACAAATTCAAAGGTGAGAAATTAGCCCCAAATAAACTTACTAGGATCATCAGGTCTTTCCTTGCCTTTCTGTCGATTCTTATTAAAGAAGTCCACAACTTCCCTTTTACTTTCTAGGTCCAGTCCTGAAATGTCAATTATTCACACATGGAAATGAAAACATAATATCAATAACCTCTTACCTTCAATGGGTAGTAAGAATAAGTAACTATTATGAAAGATACAAAGAAACTGTTTATGTAATGGTTAGAAAGTAAAGGAAAGAATTATCTTCCAAAAATTATAAGTTTACAAATATTTTAACAATCATAGTCATTCTAGTGCAAAATGATACAAAACAAGATGAATGTGACATTGACCTTTGACCCCTGCACCCAAAATCAATTGTGCTCATCTAATGGTCAAGACCAATGCACATGTAAAGTTTGAGGGTAAAGGGCCCATGGGTGGTTAAGTTAATGGTCAGAAACCATTTTGATATAAAAGGTCCAAGGTGAATGTGACCTTGTTCTTTGACCCCGAAATCAAAAGTGTTCATCAACTTGCCAAGACCAATACACCTGTGAAGTATGAGGATAAGGAATCCATGTTTTGTCAAGTTACTGGTCAATGGAACAGGAACGGAGGACATGGCTATAGCAATAGCTCATTTTTTCTTAAAAAAAGTCAAGCTTAAAATTGCAGAATATTAAGCCTGCAGAAATTAGTACTCTAACAGGCACAGAAACATATAAATGTATTATCATGATGAAATATAATTAAACTACTTTAATTAAAACTAGAACTATCACTAAATGTGATTAATACCCCCACAAGTCTGCTTCGGAAATGAGGAGATTACTAGTAACAGAATACCTTGTAATAGAATTGAAACATAGAGTTATGGTTGTGGGCAATTAAAGATAATTGTGGTTCATGTATGTTGCATTTCCTTTCAATGTGGTTGGCCATTGATGAAGTTTAATTGAATTACTCTGTAATAAGTCCAGAAAGACAAAGAAAAAGAACAAAGGGCAATAACTCTATAAATACTGAAGATAGAGTTATAGTTCTTGTGCACTGCACTTCCTCTTATTGTGCTTGACCATTGTATGAAGTTGTTTTGAATTCCAACCAGTACGTTTTAAGTTATGCTCCGGACAAGGAAAAGTATCAAAGGGCAGTAACTCTGTATTTTGTCAAAATGGAGTTATGGCTCTTGTGCACTGCACTTCCTTTTAATGTCCTTGACAACTGTATGAAGTTGTACTGAATTCCAAACAGTAGTTTTCAAGTAATGCTCTGGACAAGGAAAAGTAACAAAGGGCAATAACTCTGTTATTAGTCAAGATGGAGTTATGGTTCTTGTGCACTGCACTTCCCCTTATTGTGCTTGACCATTGTATGAAGTTGTTTTGAATTCCAACCAGTAGTTTTCAAGTCATGCTCTGGACAAGGAAAAGCAACAAAGGGCAGTAACTCTGTAATTAGTCAAGATGGAGTTATGGTTCTTATGCACTGCACTTCCTCTCAATGTGCTTGACCATCATGTATGAAGTTATAATGAATTCCAACAATAAGTCTTCAAGTTATGGTCCGGTCAAAAGAAAGCAATGGAAAAGTAACAAAGGGCAATAACTCTGTAAATAGTCAAGATGGAGTTATGGTTCTTGTGCACTGTACTTCCCCTTATTGTGCTTGGCCATTGTATGCAGTTGTTTTGAATTCCAACCAGTAGTTTTAAAGTCATGCTCTGGACAAGGAAAAGAAACAAAGGGCAGTAACTCTGTAATAAGTCAAAATGGAGTTTGCACTGCACTTCCTCTCAATGTGCTGGACCATTGTATGAAGTTATAATGAATTGCAACAATTAGTCTTCAAGTTATGGTCCAAACAAAAGAAAGCAATGGAAAAGTAATAAAGGGCAATAACTCTGTAATTACTTTAGATAGAGTTATGGTTCTTATGCACTGCACTTCCTCTCAATGTGCTTGACCATTGTATGTAGTTATATTGAATTCCAACCATTAGTCTTCAAGTTATGGTCCGGACAAAAAAAGAAGGCAATGGAAAAGCAACAAAGGGCAATAACTCTGTAATTAATTTAGATAGAGTTATGGTTCTTGTGCACTGCACTTCCCCTTATTGTGTCTGACAATTGTATGAAGTTGTTTTGAATTCCAACCAGTAGTTTTCAAGTTATGCCACGGACAAGGAAAAGTAACAAAGGGCAATAACTCTGTAATTAGTCAAGATAGAGTTATGTTTCTTACGCACTGCACTTCCTCTCAATGTGCTTGACCATTGTATGTAGTTATATTGAATTCCAACCATTAGTCTTCAAGTTATGCTCCGGACAAGGAAAATGCAACGGACAAAAAAAAAGCAATGGAAAAGCAACAAAGGGCAATAACTCTGTAATTACTTTAGATAGAGTTATGGTTCTTGTGCACTGCACTTCCCCTTATTGTGTTTGACAATTGTATGAAGTTGTTTTGAATTCCAACCAGTAGTTTTCAAGTTATGCCACGGACAAGGAAAAGTAACAAAGGGCAATAACTCTGTAATAAGTCAAGATAGAGTTATGGTTCTTGTGCACTGCACTTCCTCTCAATGTGCTTGACCATTGTATGTAGTTATATTGAATTCCAACCATTAGTTTTCAAGTTATGCTCCGGACAAGGAAAATGCAACGGACGTCTGGACCGACCGACCGACCGACCACCGGGTGACTCCTATATACCTCCCCAAACTTCGTTTTTGGGGGTATAACTAGAACTATCACTAAATGTGATTAATACCCCCCCCGCAAGACTGCTTCGGAAATGAGGAAGTTACTAGTAACAGAATACCTTGCAAAAGAACGGAAATAGAGTTATGGTTGTGAGCAATTAATGAAGTTGTGGTTCTTTTATGTTGCATTTCCTTTAAATGTGGTACTCTGTAATAAGTCCAAAAAAGTTACGCTTATTGAGCACTGCACTTCCTCTCATTGTGCTTGACCATTGAATGAAGTTTCATTGAATTCTAAAGATTAGTTTTAAAGTTATACACCTGACAAGGAAAAGGAACAAAGGGCAATAACTCTACAAATACTGAGGATGGAGTTATGGTTCTTGTGCACTGCACTTCATCTCAATGCCCTTGACCTTTGTATGCAGTTTCTTTAAATTCCAACCATTAATTTTCAAGTTAAGCACTGGACAATAAAAAGTAACTAAGGGCAAAAACTCTTAAATGAATCAAGAATGAGTTATGGTTTCTGTGCACTGCACTTTCTCTCAATATACTTGACCATTGTATGAAATTGTATTGAATTCCAACTACTAGTTTTCAAGTTAAGCACTGGACAAAAAAGTAACAAAGGGCAATAACTGTAATTAGTCCAAATAGAGTTATGGTTCTTGTGCACTGCACTTCATCTCACTGCCTCTGACCATTGTATGAAGTTTCATTGAATTCCAACCATTAATTTTCAAGTTAAGCACTGGACAATAAAAAGTAACTAAACGCAAAAACTCTTAAATGAATCAAGAATGAGTTATGGTTTCTGTGCACTGCACTTTCTCTCAATATACTTGATCATTGTATGAAGTTGTATAAAATTCCAACCATTAATCTTCAAGTTATGCTCCAGACAAAGAAGCAATGGAAAAGTAACAAAGGGCAATAACTCTGTAATTACTTTAGATAGAGTTATGGTTCTTAAGCACTGCACTTCCTCTTATTGTGCTTGACCATTGTATGAAGTTGTTTTGAATTCCAACCAGTAGTTTTTTTTTTGTTATGCTCCTGACAAGGGGCAATAACTCTGTAATTATCAAGATGGAGTTATGGTTCTTGTGCACTGCACTTCCTCTCAATGTGCTTGACCATTGTTTGAAGTTAAACTGAATTCCAATCATTAGTCTTCAAATTATGGTCGGGAAAAAAGAAAGCAATTGAAAAGTAACAAAGGGCAATAACTCTGTAATTACTTAAGATAGAGTTATGGTTCCTGTGCACTGCACTTCACCTTATTGTGCTTGACCATTGTATGAAGTTGTTTTGAATTCCAACCAGTAGTTTTCAAGTTATGCTCAGGACAAGGAAAAGTAACAAAGGGCAATAACTCTGTAGTGAAGATGGAGTTATGATTCTTGTGCACTGCGCTTCCTCTCAATGTGCTTGACCATTATATGAAGTTGTATTAAATTCAAACCATTAGTCTACAAGTTATGCTCCGGACAAGGAAAATGCAACAGACGGCTGGACCGACCGACTGACCGACCGACCACCGAGTGACTCCTATATACCCTCCCCCCAAACTTTGTTTTGGGGGTATAATGATATGATGATAAAAAGATATACATTTAACCATGTGTACATTATTTTACATAAAATTGAAATAAAATTACGATAACCTCTTGGAAATTGTTTTGGATAAAAAGTAATTAACAATGATTGATTAATAATCAATATAAAATAAACAATAACCTCCTTTAAGTCCAACAGCAATAGACAGTTTCCTGTATTTTCTATGTGGTTTGAGCACACCAGAGTTTGACCAGTTCTTCATTGTGTGACTGAAATATTATGTGAGAATCATTCACCATTCAGAAAAGTACCATATGGAAACGTGTTTCGAAAAATACCACAAAATCGGTCATTAATGGCACATAACATGGTAATTATTACTTTTATCTTCAATCTGTTTTTTTCTTTTCTTAAAATCTCAGTACTTTTTTCTCAAGTTTGATTTTCTTGAAATATTTTGGTTGATATTGATGCATGCAGCTTTTAGAACAAGAATCAGATATCCCTCTTACTATAAGAAGCTAAAAATACTCTGTAAACATGGACACATCTTGAACTGTTTTTTTCCGATGCAATTAGTCTAATGTACCAAAAAAAAGAAAATTTCCTATCACTCAACTTTAATCAAGACCATTATATTGAAATAGAGAATTGTAGGTTTTCAAATAAGATAGTCAAGATAACAAATAGCATTAGAAGTTACCAGAATGTGTAGGTATTGGCAAATGTGATGAATCTGATTATCTGTCTATTATAAACACATGCATTTTGTTGAAACATTAAATGCCAATCAAACATAATATTGTAAAGTTTACCTGAACAAAGAGGAATCTAGACCTGCACCTCCCCTACGATCTCCAGGTAAAACACCAACATCTTTCACTGTTTCTGGATTATATGCTGCACTTGCTTGCTTCAAAGATTTTACTTCAAATGTTACTTCATCTTCTAGGTCTTTATGAACCACTGAAATATGAGAAATACAACAACTTGCCAACAACAGCAAACATACAGTTAGGTGTAAGATTACTTAACTTAGACACTGACCATGTTTAAGAAAAGGTGTTGATACATAGAATTAAGTACTTGGGTAAAACCTATCACATACATTTTTTATGAAAGAATAGAGGCTCAATCATTTGACTTTCATGAGTAACTTAGACCTGACATGGTTGATTCATACTGCTTTAAAGAGGTTTACATCTAATTCAAGTTTATGAAAATCCTTCAAGAGTTATAGGAAATAAGCAACAGACAAAACAACCCATTCCCTTCATAATTTATGGAGATACCATCTTCAACACAAAAACCTAACAAAAGTGTAACGGCAATGGCTACGCCAACACCTACATCAGGATGATTACAAAAGCTCTCCCTATTCTTCGCATAGTTGAGCTGAAAATGTTTTCAAGTCACACAAATAAACAGTAAGGTTGACATCTCTGTGTACAAGTATTAACAACTTTGACAAAGAAACCCTCAAGAATGATTTAATATTCCCTATTGTTTTAAATGACAGAACAATTATAAAACCCCTTCCACTACTCTGTGGGGGTTTATGAATTATAGCTATAGAATTTTATAATAGCGCCATAACAGAAAAAACAACAGAAGAATGCCCTGATGGTACTGAATTTAAATAACTTTTGTTGAGGTCAACAAGAAATGCTACATGCTTAATGTATAAGCTCTGTGCATTGTAGTTTCTGAGAAGATTTTTTAAAATTTCATCTTTTAAGTCTATATTTAGCTCATGTGACCAACTGATACATTAGACTGGAACAATTCATATAACTTTTGTAGATGTTTGGTCAAAATCTTGATATTAAGAATGAGATGTTATTAAAGAAATCTTGGTAACATTATGTAAAGCACAAGACAGAAATCATGCTATTATAAAAGCTCACCTTTAACACAACTTAAAAATTACATAAGTATTGTATTGGAAAGTAACCATTAACATGTCAAACTTACTTGATTTACATCCTAGATTACTATTTACTGCAGTAATCTGAAGAATTTCCCAGTATGTCTGCAGGTCACTTAAAGTATCAAAGTGGAATTGTTTCTCTTGGAAAACATGACCTTCAGGAGCGTTTGTTTTGTTGTAACCCTTTAACGATAGCTTTGTGTCTAATAAAGAAGCATTTTTGTGCAGGTATATGAACATCTGAAAATAAATCATAACATAATACTAGAAAACAAAACAAGACCATGATATGTAATTTTGTCAGGTTTCAGGTCTCAGAGTACTATTAAAGACATAAATTGCATTTAACAATAAGCTAGAAGATTACGCCTCAATGTTATTCAGGCATATGCTCAGTTGAGGGTACAACCACAGTGTAACTTACAAAAATATAGGATAGTTCAAAGTATTAAACTAATTAAAATCCAACTACATTGTAAACTAAAGAATGGATAATCCTGGAAACATAGTTGCCAGTGTTACAAACATTGTCATGTGTTTAACAGAGGAATGATTCAATCATAAAACAATAATCATTAACCTTATATGTCAGACGGCTTATTGCAGGCACATTTTAAATGAAAGTAGGTAGATTCTAATTTGTAATCTTAAATTAAAAGGGGAGAAAACTCTTGAAATTAAGGTGCTAGTACTAAAACTTTGTCATGTACTGGTATAATGTGGGAAAAGATAAGAAACTAAGTTCTAAGTCTGAAGTAAATTATTTTAGCAATAATGATTGAAGAGTAAAAGTATCAAATTTAAACAAATTTTATACTTACTGAGGTAAAAGTGACGCAGTTTTTTAAATATACAAGCCACGGTTAAGAACTTTATCACATATGATGTGGGTGATGATGAGGAACATACATTTGAAGTTTAAAGTAAGTTTAAAGTAAATATATAAAGTTTTCCCAAAATTCAAAGTTGAAGAAACTTGCAATCATGAAAAAGTAAAAGTTTGTGATATTAGAAGATGGCATACTTGAATAATTATATGTATATATGTACCACATAAAAATGTTGACACACAAAAAAAAACTTATGTGTAGAATTTTTATTAAAATATTAAGGAAGATATATCAGGAATTTCAACACAGCAAGAAAATCAACTTATCAAAGTTTAACACATAAAAGTTCTACTGAAGTATATACTATTTCACTCTAAAAAACTTTATTTAATCTGAAATCTGGAGGCAAATGTTGCTGTAGCAGGACAGCTCTCTGTAAACTTTGTATAGTCAAAAATACAAATTTCAAGGCAACGCTAGGTAATATCAAATCTAATGAAAACAAACCTGATCCTTCTCTTTGAGGACTTCCCTGCCAAATGATAGAAGTCCCATCTCTGCCATGTAATAACACAATGTGGAGAATGATTGTACATACTTTTTAGAGTGGAGAAGTTGTTGGGTGAGAGAGAAAGGTAAGTTTATAACTGGATAAAACCTCTTCTGAGGATGTTCTAAAACATCCTCTAGTCCTTCTATCTGTGAATCAAATTTTATACATAACATATATAATGATATAAAATGACAGACATATGTAACGTGAAAATACTGAAAACCTAACTTTCCAGATTGTCTCTAGAGAACAATTCTAAATGTCTAGATGCTGCATGTTAATAATAATAATTCAGTACACTGTGTAAGATAATCTCATTCTCTGTCATAAAAGCATCATTGTACTTTAAAGATTTAAACTGTTGCTCCAGAATATCTAATGCAGAATGATGGTTTATATTATGAAATACTTTTTCACAGCTCAGTCAGTTTTTTTTTGTTTCGCGACCAGGGTCCAAGGTTATAAAGAAATTCTCCAAGCTCAAACTCAAATCTCAGGTATTTGATTGGTCAGAAACTGCCACAGAATGTTCACTGACCAATAAAAATCCTGAGATTTGCGACAGAACTCAGAAAAGAAGTTTTATAAACCTGAGACCAGGTATAAGATTGACCTGTTTATAAGCCAGTGCTCTCTAATTGATCTAAAACAACGAACAGCTAATGTGTAATGTAAATAGTTTTAATTCAGAACTGCTTTATAGAAAATTTCTGATGGAATAAAATACTATGATTCTAACTCCTGTAAAGGAAGACACTTATACCTTCCATGTATTTTTATACTTGTTTCATTAGTATTAATTGCTTTTCAATGTAATTGTTGTAAGAGTTAAGGAACAAGCTACAAGTACTTACTTTATAACAAACATTGACCATTTCACAGAACAAACATACTGGCATATTGAGCAAACAATCACTAAGCAACACCCAACCTTTTGGATAACCTGAAAAAAACCCAACAAAGGTTTAAAAATGGTTGTGAATGGTTGTGTATAATTACAAGATTGTAGATTGTGTCACATACTTTAATACAAGATTTTGTATCATTACTTAATGCTAGACTGGCTGTCCATGAATACCTGATTTGTCACTGATTTTAGACTGGTTATGTAAAATTACCTCATTTTAGAATGGTTGTGTACAAAACTGTCCAGTTAGCTCAATAGGTATAGTACTGAACTGTAAATCGGGCAACCATGGTTCGATATCCCAGATAGTACAGGTCACTTTCATTGTGATTCCACACAAAATCCTTTCTACGGTCATTTGAACTGAACCTCTGCTCTGGCATGTACAGGAGTTTTCAGTCCCTTGCTAAAGTGAAGGCAACTAGTACTGGTAAACTGCTTGACAGCATGGGCAGAAAAGATGCTGTGGCTGAACTGTGCTCTGATAATTCAAAGTGGCTTACTGCTGTAATCCCGACACCAATAGTGTTAAAATTTCTGATTGTGTACTGGGTGTACATAATTAGCAGATTCCAGACTGAGTGTATATATTTGTCTAATTCTAGACTGGATATATAGAAGAGGAGGAGGAGCAACATTGACTAATGACTTAAATGACAAGTTTTGTGTGTATGTGTGATTACCTGAATGTACTGGTACAGGTGGTAGATATCTTCTCCATGTCATCTCATTACAAATATACTACAGGCTCATTCTCTACATGCTGACAATAACCACCAGTTATATCAACCTGCAGCAATTATATAACCATGTCAATAATACAAGAAAAATATAAAACTTTAGTTATAACAACTGCAACTCAATGTAATGAAATTACTGGATAAAACATGTATGTAAAGAAAAGACCTTTAATAAATTTGTTACTGTATATAGTAACAATTCAACCGATTATTAGTGTCACATGACCTGCGGCCGAAAATCATAATCATAATTGGCTCAATGAACACGAGTAATTGCACCAACTGAAACAATGACGTCACATTTTAGGTCATCAAAACAGCTAGCTGTCAAAGCGAAAGTAAGTTTCAACCACAAATCGCTTAATTTTATGGTGAGAACTTAAGGTGACAACGGAGTCAATTATCACTGAAAATACCTAAAATGAGATTTTTTGCTAAGTAGATTTATTAACCTTTTCTGAACACATTTGTGATTTAATTTTGGAAGCAGTTAGTCCAAAAAATGTGTTTTTAAATGTTTTAAAACGGAACCTATACTATTTGTATCTGCTATTCGCGTAACCTGTCGTTTATTGATAACGCTCCGCCCCCTGTTGAGGCATCAATGAGGGAAATCGGTAGTTCCATATATCCGTGAATTACACGTCCATACTGGTCCATACTTCTCGTAATACATGTATCGTACAACTAACTTACATCTTTTATGAATATCTCAACATTTAGCCTTTTTTATAAATTAAGAAATTGTCGGCCAATGTACGTAACATAATGTATGAAACATAAATAATTAAGCATAGCGGCAAATCACACGACCACGGGGTTGATTAAAAATGTAGTTGCTAAAATATCCATAATGTGTGACAATAATTTGTCTGTCCCGTTAATCTGATAGATATTACGTTGAGTTGATAGACTTTTGTACGGATTCAAGGGCTTACTTTACATTCAACCTCGTTTTCTAACAATGTCAAGTAAAACAACAACAAAAACAGACAACATTTTTATATGTGAACGCCTATGTGACTTGTGGAAAGGTGTCCCTGACAAATTTCTAAACCATTTTAGATTGTCTAAGGATGATTATTTCTCTATAAATAAAAAAAAGATATTAAAATATATTCTCAGTGAAAATAAATTGTTCGTCAGTAAATCGGACACAGTACTAATAAATCTGGGACAAAGTATGAAATTTATTGTCTAAAAGACTATCCCCGGTAGAAACTGGATCTCTATGCCGTGCATAGATGATATTCATAATAGAAGTCAAGAAGGCCAGATCATAATGATCTAGTAATACCTTTTATTTCTATTAAAATATGTGAAGCATTATCAATTTGGTGGAAAAGATATATAATATCCCGTGCTTATTTGTACATCTACCATGGACTTTAAAAGACTGTCAGAAGCTTAGTTTTTTGTTATTTTTATTTTGTATTTTAACGGAATTTCATACACGAATACACAGGCAGAGTGATACTGGTATAATACAATAATAATGCTAATGATAATAATAATAAACTTCAAAAAGGAAACAATTAAGTACCCCGCTAGCGGTGCGCAAATGCGTTCCATTTCCCCCCACTGAGTGCCTCAAATTTTACCGATAGTCACGTGACATGTGAGACAGATACCAGACGATCAGTAAATCACGTTAAGAATTGAAGAAATTTCAGCTATAAACTGATATTAATCAGCAGCTTTTTAATTGGTCAGATGTCACTGGGTCATAAAATGTTGTTAGAGTATGTTACCGCAACTTGTGACCCTCTCTGGTGCGATATTTGTGTATTATGCAATTATTTAGCGTGAAACGTAGGGGTCCGAGAGAGAACAGCCGATTTATGACACTTCGTTTGATGCGGGTCGGACTAACTTTGAATCAGCATAACTTCTTTAAAAATCAAGCAATTAACATGCGGTTTAAAGCACATGAAAGGAAATTCATTTACGGAGGGAACCGTGTCAGGGATTTTTGTTTGCTCAATAGGCGACTTAATTATCTTTAATTACGTAATATGTATGGTGAAAAAAGTCGCATAAAATGTTTGACGTTACGTAATATTTTTTTGAGAAAATATAGAAAAAATTTGAGACACGGTTCCCTAGATAATATAAGTATGGTTATTTTCAAAAATTTGATGACAAAAAATTAAAAAAATGACTTTGATATGACAATTTAAAATTTTAGGATTTTTATTCAAAATCAATCATTTACAAAGGCATTTTTTTCAAATATGTTATTTTTTATGATGATCAACGACATTTAATGCACAAAGATTAAATAAATAACAATTATTATTAAAATAACTTTGTTTAAATGACATTTATGTAAGTACCACGGAAAGTGTCTGTTGTCACCTTAAGTATAATTTGTACAAACACAGTTTACTTGAAAATAAAAGAATAAGAATACAACAAAATCATTCTGAGAAAATAAACCATGTTTCTTGATTTTAGCGTCCTTGTATGAACATAACCGAAAGCAACTGTTAGTAAAAATCTATGAACAGAGACAGCAATTTCAACTAAAGAAATATCAAAGTAATTTAAAAGAAATGCTTCTGTTAGACCCATCAAGTGTATTAAAGACAAAAACACACATCAGAGACGGGCAGGAAAATGATAATCGGCCCTGAAATGAATAATGTCCTCGGGGGCAATTATTCATTATGTGGGCCGATTATCACCTTCAGGACCTACTCTGCTGTGTATTTATCTCTTATTAACACTAAAATTCTTAACTTAAAAAAATGACAGCCATTTACTTTGTCATTAATTTTTACTGTCAAGATTTCAATAATATGTGATACATCATTCTTATATAGTAGGCCTTTACAGGCCAACCAGTAACATAAACATGAACACAAATATACAACTCACAGAGACTGGGATAACATTAAGTGACCTTGCCCCCATTCTAATAGCCTAGCATAGTGCAAAACAAAGAAAATTTAATGAAAACCCACTGTTAACTACAGTTAAAGACAGTTATAACTAGAACTATCACTAAATGTGATTAATGCAAGACTGCTTCGGAAATGAGGATTCTACTAGTAACAGAATACCTTGTAAAGAATTGAAACAGAGTTATGGTTGTGGGCAATTAAAGATAGTTGTGGTTTCTTGTATGTTGCATTTCCTTTCAATGTGGTTGGCCATTGATGAAGTTTTATTGGATTACTCTGTAAGAAGTCCAGAAAGACAAGGAAAAGGAACAAAGGGCAATAACTCTATAAATACTGAAGATTGAGTTATGGCTATTGTACACTGCACTTCCTCTCATTGCGCTTGGCCATTGTATGAAGTTGTACTGAATTCCAACTACTAGTTTTCAAGTTATGCACTGGACAAAAACGTAACAAAAGCAATAACTGTAATTAGTCCAAATAGAGTTATTGTTCTTGTGCACTGCACTTCATCTCACTGCCCTTGACCATTGTATAAAGTTTCATTGAATTCCAATCATTAATTAAGTTATGCACTGGACAATACAAAGTAACAAAGGGCAAAAACTTTTAAATTAGTCAAAAGAGTTATGCTTTCTGTGCACTGCACTTCCTCTCAATATACTTGACCATAGTATGAAATAGTTTTGAATTCCAATTAGTAGTTTTCAAGTTATGCTCTGGACAAGGAAAAGTAACAAAGGGCAGTAACTCTGTAATTAGTCAAAATGGAGTTATGGTTCTTGTGCACTGCACTTTCTCTTATTGTGCTTGACCATTGTATGAAGTTGTTTTAAATTCCAACCAGTATGTTTTAAGTTATGCTCCAGACAAGGAAAAGTATCAAAGGGCAATAACTCTGTCATTAGTCAAGATGGAGTTATAATTCTTGTGCACTGCATTTCCTCTTAATGTGCTTGACAACTGCATGAAGTTGTATTGAATTCCAACCAGTAGTTTTCCAGTTATGCTCCAGACAAGGAAAAGTAACAAAGGGCAATAACTCTGTCATTAGTCAAGATGGAGTTATGGTTCTCATGAACTGCACTTCCTCTCAATGTGCTTGACCATTGTATGAAGTTATATTGAATTCCAACTAGTAGTCTTCAAGTTATGCTCCGGACAAAAAAAAGCAATCGAAAAGTAACAAAGGGCAATAACTCTGTAATTAGTCAAAATGGAGTTATGGTTCTTGTGCATGGCACTTCCCCTTATTGTGCTTGGCCATTGTATGAAGTTGTTTTGAATTCCAACCAGTAGTTTTCAAGTTATGCTCCGGACAAGGAAAAGTAACAAAGGGCAGTAACTCTGTAATTAGTCAAAATGGAGTTATGGTTCTCATGCACTGCACTTCCTCTCAATGTGCTTAACCATTGTATGAAGTTATATTGAATTCCAACTATTAGTCTTCAAGTTTGAGTCTGGACAAAAGAAAGCAATGCTAAAATAACAAAGGGCAATAACTCTGTAATTACTTTAGATAGAGTTATGGTTCTTGTGCACTGCACTTCCCCTTATTGTGCTTGACAATTGTATGAAGTTGTTTCGAGTTTCAACCAGTAGTTTTCAAGTTATGCTCCGGACAAGGAAAAGTAACAAAGGGCAGTAACTCTGTAATTAGTCAAAATGGAGTTATGGTTCTTGTTCATTACACTTCCTCTCAATGTGTTTGACCATTGTATGAAGTTATATTGAATTCCAACTATTAGTCTTCAAGTTATAGTCCGGACAAAAGAAAAGCAATGGAAAATATTAAAGGGCAATAACTCTGTAATTACTTTAGATAGAGTTATGGTTCTTGTGCACTGCACTTCCCCTTATTGTGCTTGACAATTGTATGAAGTTGTTTCGAGTTTCAACCAGTAGTTTTCAAGTTATGCTCCGGACAAGGAAAAGTAACAAAGGGCAATAACTCTGTAATTAGTCAAGATGGAGTTATGGTTCTTGTGCACTGCACTTCCTCTCAATGTGCTTGACCATTGTATGAAGTTATATTGAATTCCAACCATTAGTCTTCAAGTTATGCTCCGGACAAGGAAAATGCAACGGAGACCGACCGACCAACCGACCGACCGACCGACCACCGGGTGACTCCTATATATCCCCCCAAACTTCGTTTTTGGGGGTATAAAAAGTACCATCTGATATATTTACCCTATCTTCTCCAAGCCAATGTTCTTGTCCACTTTCAAACTCTCCTTTATCTGTTTTACTATCACCAGCATTATCACCAGCATTATCACCAGTATTATCACCAGCATTATCACCAGCATTATCACCAGCATTATCACCAGTATTATCACCAGTATTATCACCGGCACTACCACCAGCACTATCACCAGTATTATCACCAGCATTATCACCAGCATTATCACCAGTATTATCACCAGCATTATCACCAGTATTATCACCGGCACTACCACCAGCACTATCACCAGTATTATCACCAGTATTATCATAAGCATTATCACCAGCCTTAATATCTGTATCACCACCAGTGTTATCATCATTTCTTGCAGTATTATCAGACTGACTGGTCTCAGGTTTTACTGTCTTCACGGGTTGACCATGTGTATCATAGCCACAGATAGAAACAGATATTGATGAGCAGGCCAGCTGTATTCTCAGCATCTTAGGTAAAACTCCATATCTTAGACCTGCAATTCTGGTAAAATCATAATATAAAACTTAATAAAATAACTATTCTCTTATACATCTTTTTATACTTCCTTAGAAAAGGGTCTAGATTTAAGCAGATCTGTACCCTATGACCAACACCAGAACTGAAACACATTAGAGGGTAATTAATAGAAAGTTTAAGCTGTTTTCACAAGTTTATTTAAAAATATTGATCTAGTTAAAATGAACAGGGGAACTTACTCTGTTCATATTTCATGGGTGGTGCTTTCTCAGCTAAACTTCTTCCTGATATTCTTGATGACTTCTTAATGGTCTTAACGCAGACTGAGCGGATATCAGGTGTCTCTACAACTTTCTGTAAACACAATCATGCAATACACCATTCAATACTCTTCACAAACACAAGCATACACACAATACATATTTATTTCTCAATGACTTTCAATAAACACAAACATACGCAATCTCAAACTCAATATCCTTTTACTAGTAAGATGTTTATTATAATTTATCACAATAAGAGACAGAATGCTGACAAGTTTTGAATACCATTTTCTGTTGCAGGTTCTTAGGCACCTTTTGTTAACAGTTTCCTCTGTAAGCTCCTGTTTCTCAGCTTCCTCCTTGGAACACTGAAGTAACGCAACTTGGCTTCATTCATCATCCTCTCACACAATTTCTCTATCTTCTGTTGATATGCTCGGTGTACACAGGTAGATAAACTAGAGTACAGGAAGATAAACTAGAGTACATGTAGATAAACTAGATAAACTAGAGTACAGGAAGATAAACTAGAGTACATGTAGATAAACTAGAGTACAGGTAGATAACCTAGAGTACAGGTAGATAAACTAGAGTACATATAGATAAACAAGAGTACAGGTAGATAAACTGGAGTACATGTAGATAAACTTAGAGTACATGTAGATAAAACTAGAGTACCCAGAAGATAAACTAGAGTACATGTAGATAACTAGAGTACAGGTAGAATAACAGTAACAGGA